TTGTCCAGAATGGTTTGGGGACATTTGACCCCAATACTGGCACCCAGTCTGAGTTATTTTCTCTGCATTCAAGAGCCACAGATATGTGCCTGCCAATCAAATTAATTTTGCTCTAAAGGTCTAGGGTTCCAGACGAAGGCCGTTCCCAACCTTCCCTGGAAATTTTGGGGATTGAACATATGTCTCCAAGAACATGCATGCACAAGCATTAACATGTCACCCTTCAAAAACATTTCTTCACGAGAATCAGATCTCTTACCTGAGTCAGACCCTGAGAATGTGTCTAAGGGGGGCAATTCGAGAATGAGTTATTGACAGTGAATGGCCTTTTAGGCTTCCTCCATGTGAACAGGAGTTCACATTTTGAATAATAAGAATTATATGTCACGGGGGGGGGTCAGGATTTTAGAGACGCTTAGGTGGGGCACTGCCCAAAAAAGGTTGGGAACCATTGGTCTAAGGTGTTCAAAACCCAAGGATTCACATGTTGGAGGGTATGCACCCTGTGACTCCAGCAGCAGTCAGAATCCAGAACGATGAGACATTTATTGTCCTGCATAATGGCTGAATCAACACATGGTAGAGCTTGGCACAACAGAACAGTGCAACGTCAGTCTGTGTCTGTGTGTGCGCACATGCGCTCATGTCCAGTCATGTAAAAACATGCTGCAAGCAGAAATCCAGCACCTCAGGGATAAAAAGCTTCACGCCCAACCACTTTTGCCAGCTGTGCTTGGTTTCTGTATGCTAGGAAATTTTTAATGCAGGAAGCATTCAGTCATGTGATATCTCCACCTGCACTGCTGCAGTACCTTTTTCAGTCTGTTGCATGAATAGACTAGGCTGCTCTTAGACTGGCGTGGCTCAGACCTTAGTTAACCTCCCAGCGTGTGATCGCTCCTCCAGAACGTGCAGAAGCTAAGCCACTATGCAACCTGGCTTTGCCAATGAGCAGATTCAGTTGCACACACCCTCTAACTTCTTCACACAGAAGGAGACAACAGGAAGCAAGATGTAACGATTAAATGTACTCTCGTTTGGGAAGTAGTGGGCGTTGCTGCTGCAGCTTGAAGCCTGCTGCTGTGGTTCGCAGAACCACGTTGCTTCTGCTCCTGTATTCAAAGGAGGCTTCTTCAGAAAGACAAAGCCATGCTGGCAGCCTGCTGTGAAATAAAACAACCCCTCTGGCTTCTGTAGGGCTTCTTTTCATAGAACAAAATATTTTATTCTTAATGCTGCTGCTGTCTGCAGTTTAAGGTGACAGAATCTCTGCATAAATGCAGGCTCTCCAGGCTGTGAGACACACAGCTTGCACATATATGGTCAATATGAGGTCACACAATTTCTGCAACTATTAGGCCGGTGGCTTGGCATAATATAAGGCAGTACATCATTTATCTCACTCAGAGAACTGAAGTTACAGGGAACCAGGCAGAGGGCCTCTTGGTAGTGGCGCCCACCCTGTGGAATGCCCTCTCATCAAATGTCAAGGAGATAAGTAACTATACAACCTTTAGAAGACATCTGAAAGCAGCCCTGTATAGGGAAGGTTTTAAATGTTTAATTCTGCTTTTATATATGTTGGAAGCCATCCAGAGTGGCTGGGGCAATCCAGTCAGATGGCCAGTGTAGAAATAATAAAATTGTTGTTGTTGTTAAATTATTAAAAAACGGGCAGGGAAGGGGGAAGATGCACTGGTGAAGGCACATTAGTTTTTCTTCTAGTCTTCTCACCCCAGAAGGTTAGCCTTCACTGTATCATTTCTAATTTTATCATTTTCTTGCTTACATTTGCCTGCATTTGTTTTATTTCGTCCATCTGTTCAAATATGTTTAACTGCCTCTAGTAGGAATAGAGGAGAGAGAGATTTGATTTGGTTCACATTTCAAGGAGACTGAATTCATACTTTTCAAAATGATACTCAGACCAAAATGCAAGTACCTTTCAACAATCACTCTTCCCTGAATTTTGCAATGCAGTTCTCCAGTCCTGTTTACAAAAAAAGCATATGCTAAACTAAACATAAAAGTGCACAGAATAGGGAGAAGAACATACACAAATGCCTTACATTAGGGAGAATTATTTTGCAAATATGTGCATATATTAGCACTTATGTGTATATCAGAAGGAATTCACACTAAAATGCTGATGAATTTTCAAAAGGACTGCTGTGATGAACTGAGCTTAAGACTGCAAAAATGAAAAATATTATGCTGACAGATTAACCTGTCCCTAGCCACTGCTGCTGGTGGTGCTGGCAAAACCAGCAGCACTATGACAGCAATGGCAGAAAACTAGCAATTGTATTATGTAGTGGAAGCAAAAGGAGTGTATTTGTTGGGGGGGAGGAACCTGGGATTTTTGCTATATTAAAGTTTCAGCTCCTTTCGTTTAAAAAGCGTAATGTCTTGCTCATGCCTCCAGTATCTGTACAAATGCAGATCACCCTCCAGTTACTTGTATGTGTTCTCCCAGGCACAATCCACTCAGATAAATAAATACATTTGTTTCGTGCTTTCAGGCCAGGCCAGGGTTATGTGAAAGTGTTTATATCAGCCTTATGAATGAAGCTGCCTTGGCCTCTGCCCCCGTGTCAACTTCCTGTTGTTATTACAAGCAGGAAGTGGCATGATGGAATCAAGGTTGCTGTGTTTTATTTAAACTCTTACTCCTAGCTGAAAAATGTCTACACAGTATGGGTCATAAATCCCCCCCCCCCAAAGTGCTGGGATTTAACTGTGGGAATGTTCGATGTACATGAAAGAAGAGAGAGACCGGGGGAGCACAGCTCCAGTTCCCACAGAACTCTGCCTGATATAACCATCCCTCAAGAATAAGGGCAGAACATCACTCCCCAAATCCTTGTATTCGGAGCTGAAGCTTATATATGTGCAGGCAACTTGATATACACAGCACAATAGTCTGGATTCAGGATTCAGGTTTCATTGCATTTTGTAATGGTTGCAGTTCAACCTCCCTATCAAAAATGGATGAACGTAGGGTTTAAAGTGATGGATGAATGAGAGAATCGACTTTAGGGCAAAACTAATTTGGATTACTGGAGACAGTTAAGTGGTCTTGTCACATGGTAGGATACAATCCCCATACATTTAGGCATGTAATGTTTCAGAAGGCCCATAGCACATTGCTTTTGAGCAGCACAGAGGTACTGCAGAATGACCCCAGTGTTTGAAAACAGGATTCATAATTAACCTACTGCAAAACCTGGTCATCTTTCGCCCAACCGTATGAACCGGAAGGAAATTCACTTTGGTAACGGTGTGGGATGTGAAAGTTTTTTTGTTTCTGAAGACCTGATTTAATCCAGGGAGCTAGTCGTACAATCCTCCAATTTTCAACTTGGCAGTCAGAATTATTACCACGTTTGCAACCCATGCAAAGTCATCACTTAATGACACTAGGAAATTTCACACACAGTATGTGTGCCCTACACTTCCTTTCCCCAAGAAAAAGGGAGAAGAAATAAGAGAGAGGCAGGATGATGGGATATGAATATTACACATATTTCCTAATTCCCATTTGAATATGTTGTGCTCATTTGCACTTCCTACAGACCCAACAAGGGTCTTTTTAGTTCTGACACCTTTGCACCTTATTAAAGAAAGGAAGCTCAGTGAGCAGGTGTTACTCCTTCATTAACTGAGAGCATACACACGGGTCACACACTCAAATACCTGCATTCAAATTTAGCTTAGAATACTATGCGGTGGGTGTTGGAGTGAATTTGGCAACTTCAGGATTTAAACCCACATTTTGGGGTCACTTCCTGGTCATCAGGATTCCTGCTATGGTACTGAACATCAGCACTGAAATCATATATTGGGTGGTAAATACTCTGAAATTAGTTGTAGGGTTGTCTGTTAAAGAAACACTGTTCTTTCCTGGTTTCACTGTGAATATGTAATGTTCACACATTATCCGGGTGGGGGTGGAGGAGGTAGTTGTGTACACCTAATAGCATAATATGTGAATGTGTCAAATATGTATCATATAGGATCATTCCTCAGGGAGTCATTATTGGGCACAGACTCCTTTATAAGCAGCTGAAAACTCACGTGCTGTGAGATTATCATTTGCCACTGAGCAATACTTTTGAAAAGCTTCGTGCTTGCAGTGTCATATTTTAATGATGTTTTAATGACCCTCTTGCACCAAAGGACATTCATAAGGCTAACAGAAATGATCTCAAAATGAATTGCCAAAAACTGGAAAAAAGAAACAATACTGACAAAAAAGAGTGGCAAGAGAATTATTTGACTGTATTGAATTGGCTAGATTGACAGAAGCCATTAGGGGTCGTCAGCCCAAGCAAAAATTTCAAAAAGAATGGGGTAAATATAGATAAAACCTTAAAATCAGTGCCCTCAAATTAATACTTGGGCTTGTTTTGATTAACTTCTGCAAAAGAAATTATGGTATAAAAGCTAAAAACAGAAAGAAAATGGGGTAATAATGAATTAAGAAGGAGACAGATTACCAAAGATGAAAAGAGAACCGTGTTGAGGATGAAGGAAGTCAATTGGAAGAAAAGAAAAATTGAAATATGAGAGAGAGAGAGAGAGAGAGAGAGAGAGAGAGAGAGAGAGTGTTAACAATTTGATCTGTGTACGTTATTATGTTTTATTTGTATTTCTTTGTTTGTTTTTGATTGTGTATTATTACTTTTATGTTTAGTTTTATAAGTGTGTGTGTATGTGTTCCAAAAAAAACTTTTTAAAAAATTAAAAGAAATCCAAATGCTTCCCTTTCACTGTGGCAAAAAACCATTCTTTCAATGCCTCTCTGTGCCAGCAACCCTCGAGCAAAACTTGCATCTCCATTGTAGCATTTAAACTGTCATTAGCAGCTGGTGAGAAATCACAAGCCAGAACCACTTTTTAAAAATTGGGTTGCTTCCCCCTCTGATACTTCTGACTGAGAATGTGTGAGAATCATAGAACTGTTGAGTTGGAAGGGACCGTGAGGGTCAGGATTTTTTTGCCCAACATGGGGCTCGAACCCACAAGCCTGAGATTAAGAGTCTCCTTCTCTACCAACTGAGTTATCCCATGTAGTGTTGCTTATTGTTTTGCTGCTGCTCAAGAGCAGCTGTAACAGGAAGGAAGAATGAAAGGAAGTTGTAAGAAGAGGACAAGCACTTTGGCTGCAGCCCAGTCCTCCAACAGCCACGTACTCTGTGGAGGCCCAACAACAACAACAAAAATCAGTGGTACCACTTCAAAGGATGAATCTAAAGGATGACTGTTACTTCTGAATGGTATCTGCTAACCACAAGCATCTAGGAAAATCTGTCAGCCAAGACCTACTCCTCTTCTCACACCCCACAGACTTCAACCTCTGCTTCTGGTACTTAACCTTTGCAGATTCCCAGAAGGGACGGGTGAGAAATTAGATTCTGCTGACTTTTGACGACAAACCAACCTAATCTACACTTCCTAAAACTCTATCAGAACCGAAACATAGTCACATTTTGGAATGTACTCTTCTCTGAAATTTGCAATGCCTTTCTCCAGCCAACTAATGTGTGCAAAAATGCATATTCTAGGATTAAGTGTGTATAAAGTGCATATATTAGCACAAAGAACATGTGAGGCAGAACATTATGGGAAATTGCTTTGAGATAGATAGATAGATAGATGATAGATAGATAGATAGATAGATAGATAGATAGATAGATAGACACACACACACTTTTTATTTGAATTTTTTAAAAAATAAAAATAATAAAATAAACCTACATTAAAAAGCATACAATATCCACATTTCGAAATTACATTGAATCTCTTGACTCCCTCCCCCCCCCCCCCCGCTTCCCCTCCATGGGTCCTTTTGGTTCTATTTTCAACTGCATATCAATACTTCTAATATATATTAGGCAAAATTGCATACAAATGTGCTTATATTAGGAGAAATTTGTGGTAAAGTGCGGATAGATTTTCATGAAGACGTTCTTCTTCTTCTCAAAGGCACTAAGGTGACAAACATATTATTCCCTCCTTGTGTTGCAGACGCATAGTAGGTGTGAGACTGAGGCCGTGTGTCAGAGACCAGATTGCAATAGAGGACTTCCTTCCTGGCATGCTTGAGATCCTCCACTGCACGGCATTGCCCCCCGCCCTCTCTCTTGGGGGAAGGGCCTTAGCTCAATGGTAGAGCTTGGAAAAAGACTTCTGCCTGAAATCCTGGCGAGCTTCTGCCAGCCAGGCTAGAAAATGCATTGTGAGATGGTTTGAATTAGTATAAGGCATCTTCCTATGCCCCTGTTCCCTTTTTCATTTACCGTATTTTTCGCTCTATAAGACGCACCAGACCACAAGACGCACCTAGTTTTTGGAGGAAGAAAACAAGAAAAAAAATATTCTGAATCTCAGAAGCCAGAACAGCAAGAGGGATTGCTGCGCAGTGAAAGCAACAATCCCTCCTGCTGTTCTGGCTTCTGGGATAGCTGCACAGCCTGCATTTGCTCCATAAGACGCACACACATTTCCCCTTACTTTTTAGGAGGGAAAAAGTGAGTCTTATAGAGCAAAAAATACGGTATATATTTTTGCAGCAAGGTCCCGTTCATGCTAAAGCATCAATTAGCCTTGAATGCTGCTCTCTGTGGATGGTGACCCTCTGCCGCAATCAGTTCTTGTGCAACCTCTTGCCCTGCATGCGTTCAATTTTTTTTAAAAAAATATATCTTTATTAATTTAAAATAAATACATTTATGAAAAACAGACGTACATACAAGTAAACAAACATACAGTCAAACAAACAAATAACAGAAAAATCAAACAAACCGCCACACTATAAGATATAAGAAGATCAATATAATTATCATCATATATAATTCTGATATTGAACACAATTATAAAATTTATAGAAAAGAATTTTAAAACTGACTTCCAATTAATCTCACTGTACTTTGTCTATCCATCACTTTATACCGCACAGTTACATATTTCTTATATAATTTCTTTTTACCTCCCTACAAACTTATATTTATACAATACAGGGATCAGTCTAATTCTGCCAAGATGTTTCCTTTTATTCCATAGTTTTCTAAATATTTTTTAAAGATTCTCCAATCCTTATAGACTTTTTGTTTTGGTTGGCCTCTTACTCTTCCTGTTGCTTTCGCTAGCTGCAGATATTCTACCATTAGGATTTGCCAGTCTTCCGTGTTGGGTATTGTTGTGTTTTTCCAATTTCTTGCTACTAAAATTCTGGCCGCCGTTATTCCATCCATGAACAATGTTCTTTTCGATTTCCCTATTTCTTTTGGAAAAATGCTGAATAAAGATATTTCTGGCCTCTTGTTGAATGTTAATTTAAATATATTTTTTAAGTTCTTCATATATATTATTCCAAAAAAACACAAATATCTGTACATTTCCACCACATATGCAAATAAGTTACTGGGCTTCCAAGAAGGGGCAACAGGATTGAAAGATAGCAGATCCGTCTGCTGGACAAAGCCACTTCTGACATCAGGAGGAGGTGGGGTTGTGCGCTCACGCCCCCAACACGCGCGGGGGGGCTGATTTCTAGCCCCGCACGTTCAGGGGAATCCTCGGGCCGCGTCATCCCCTGAACCAGCCAATCGGCTGGCTTGGGGTGTGTGGCTTGCCTCATTTAAGGCAGGCGCGGCCCCAGGATCTCCCCTTTGGTCCACGCAGCTGATTAGGTTTCCCACCCACCCACCCTTTAAGGTTTACCTTCTGACCTTGCTATGGACTGCGGTTCGTCGCCATTAAGGGGCCTGGTAGGAATTTTTTTCACTTGGCAAATTGGCACCGGCCATTTGGTTTTTCGCCTGTCTTGTAGCAAATCATCACAACTCTTTGGTTTTTGGCGGTTAGGCATTGGTAGGGGTATTGTTATGCAGATCTTTTGGGGGATAGGGGCGCCATCAACTCCCCCAAATATTGAAGGGTAGTCCGGTAAAGGATTCTGGGGGGCGTTGCCTCGTCCAAAGCCTATGGAGCCCAGGGCCTAAAGCGCACCCCCGAGAGATGACCCCGGGGGAGTCCCTAGTTGATGTGCATCAGCAGGGCTCCCCCTGCTGGTGTTAACCCTTCCCAGTCTTCAAGCAAACAGGCTGAAGCCGGATAGTCTGATAGGACCAATTCCTAAGCCAATACCGCTCTTACCTGTAACCAATAAAGTTGTGGCCAATTTTAGCCCATTAACCTTAAATAATTGTCTCCTGTGTCTTTATTCATTCTGGGGGGAGGCGGGAACTCGTCACACAACTTGAGGAGCAGTTCCCTGCCCTCAGTTGTTTTTGTTGGCCTCGGTCTGTCTCAAGAGACAATGGAGCACACCTCTGGGGGTGAAGTCAAACCACTGCATTAGCAGCAGCAAAATGACCTCCCTGAGGTGCAAGTCTGGGCAGTGTGCATGGAGGTCCTGGGCTGCCCAGACGACAACCCGCCCCCTGCCCCCAGCCTCGTTGAGGTGGTCCAAAGGACAGCAGAGCGATACATTTGGCACCAACTTGGCTGCAGGAGTTGCTGGAAGGAGACATACAAGGTGCATACAAGGTTCCACCCAACCATCTTTGGAACTTCACTCTGGATTTGTGTAGGATGTATTTCTTAGCCTTTTCTTCTCCCAAAGATATCCCACATGGCAGTGGAGGTTTAGGACCTTTCCAGGTTGAAGGAAAGGTCCGTCCTCATTATAGCTCCCTTTAAAAGGGACCACCAAGGGGGCTGTTTGCTTGTATGAATTAGACCTAACACGGCTGCACTTCAGGGTTTTATTATTTTTTTCCAGGTGCAAGACTGAAACCCCAGCGCCTACTGAAATGTCAGCTCCAATGAGAAAAGTCAGTCTGCACCATTACATTTTGCAGTGAACTTCTCCATCTTCCTGGCAGAAGCAGCTATAGATGTTTTATTCTAATTTGTCCCCCTCCAACAATAAATTGGAGCGGTTCTTCTAATTTTCAGGACCTTCATATATATTTTTTTATGTGTTGTCCCTGTTTGATAGTGCCGAGAATAACTCTTCATCATATTAACAGATTGGTGTGTGTTTTATTGCCTGCCTTGTAATAATCTGCAGCATGAGAGGGGGTTTTTTTATTGTCTCCTCCTAAGCTCTGCAAAGCAGACTTGTACCTCTTGGCTGTTTGTTTAACTGACCAGATCTGCCAGTCACAGAAGAGCTGTAGGCTTTCTCACGTCAACTTCGATTTATCTAGAAAGGTTGCGGTCTATAAAAATCCCACTTACACATGCCCACTATGCAATACCTGTTGAATTCCAAGGGACGTACTCCCAGGGAAGTGTTATAGGATTGCCACCTGAAGGAGCTGAAAATGTAAATAAGGTATAGAAAAAATATGATCTTCCCATATAGAAGTAGAGTTCTAGTCCCCAGCCCCAGCCCCTCAATATCCCCTTAGTACATCTGTTCTTCTTTTAAAAATGTTAGCATCTCACACTGAACTTCTGCGTCCTGTGGTGGTTTGTTTGGTTGGCTTTTGATCTATTCAGGAAACGGTTTGTGTGTCTCTCTGCCCCACCCTTTGCTGCAGCTTTCACAACTGCATGCGGATACCTGGTTAACCCTTCTGGGTATCTGTGGACGTTATCTGATGGCTTTATCCAGACCTGACTCGACGGAAAGGACAAAGAGTGAAATCGAGTTCTGCAAATAGCCTGAGCTTTTGGATGAAAACGCCCAGTGTTGGCGAAAACGACCTATAGCTCTACAGCTCTCTAAGTTTCTCATGGTCTTCTCAGTCACACCTTTGCTAAAGCAGGCTGCTGTCTGTGCATGTTCACATTAGCCTCTAAACCACCAGCGTTAACCTCACACGTTTGGTTGGAGGGGTGTCAGCCTAATTTAAAATGCTGTGCATCTTCTCTTCCTCTCTCTCTCCCCCTCTCTTTCTCCCCCCCCCCCCCCAATACACAACATTCCTTTTAAAATATCCTGGAAACTATAGCTTGTACAGAGGTACAAGTCCTAGCACCCCACACAAACTACAGTATCCAAGATTCTGGGGGAGGGTATACTTTAAATGTGCTTTAAAGGTGTGCTGTACAT